TGGAATGCACCCAGACCGGTAACTGCAAGAGAGTGCTTTCCGTTGTCGGCCAGAGAGGATGATGGAGGGGCATTGACACCAATTGGAAGCATCAATTTGCAATCCATCGCTGCCCCGCCATGGTAGACATGCGATAAGAGCGGAGGGGAGGATGATGTAATCATGGATAAGACACACCTGGAAAGAACTTACCTAAGCACCCATTTCCATCCCGCGCCGTCTTGTACCGTCTTCGTCTTGTTCATCATCTTTCACTTTACAAGGGCGCCAGATACGAGCCAGGAGCCCAGCCTGCATGAAGTCCACACTATAAAGTAGTGCGCGACATACGCCTTTTTGCTCAAAATCATGCGATTTCGCATTGTTTTTCCTTGCCATACTGCTCTCTAGCTCTTGGCGGGTTGACTCGGCGGGCTGCGCCATCTCGCGATCCCTTTGGCCCTTTGGTCCCTCCGGCCTGGCCAACGGGCGGCAATCGGAGAATAAGGTACTGCACCAATCCTGAACGATGCAGCTCCTCAATTTCTGTCATTTTCCAGCTTGGCCTTACGATGTAACCACCCCTCGAGTCGTTCGCTAGCCGATGCATGCCCTGCCTCCGCCTCCCTTACTTGTACCTACCACCGGCCCTTCGGAATGTCGGGCGGCAGAGGGAAAAGCAAGTGCGGGTGTCACATTTGCTTGCTTTGTCTGGGGAAATCGCGTGCAGTAGCCAAACACGCCAGCTATGCTAAAAGCAGAGAAAAGCAAAGAAAACAGCATGCAGCGCTTCGTGGCTGACTCGGAAACCTCGCCAGTCACATCTCGACAGCGAACATGCAACGCCCTCGCACAAGAAAAGTGTCATTCGTCGTCTTGTCACGTCAGGACGCCCACCTTGCTCGATTCTGGCCCCTTCTGGTCCTGCTGCTACCATGTACCTCGATTCTGGCCTTTCAGCGCTGTCGGCGGCAACACGGTTTGGCGGAAGAACTAACGACTCGCTCCCTCGTCCTCGAGTCTTGAAAGAAGAAACGCTCGGACACGCCCGAAGACTGGCCTCTCCACAAGGGCGACCATCGTCCACCCAGCTGGCTGCCTCAACGGCGGCCACTGGACAGACAGCCAGCAGAAGCCACTTTGGCGACAGGTGGGCGTACGTCGGACTCTGAGGCATGACTTACGCAGTAGTACAGTATTCATGACTGGTTCACTCCCTCTGGACAACAAAGAGATTGACCGACAGGTACGGTTGAGGCAGGCCTGGGGCCACTCGAACTCCTTACCTGGAGAACCGGCACCTGTAGTTGGTCCAGCCTCGGCTTTGCCCTCCTCACCTGGGGTCCAAACCAACTTTTTTCGTCGCAATTGGAGATCTCACGGCCGTGCACAATTGACACATGCACATGATCAACGAAGCTATGACTGCCGCACCGCTGTCCATCCCATGGGTCACAGCGCCATGTATCAGGGGTCGAGCAGTCGGTGACAGGGTCTTCCTGTTTGTTTCCTTGCTGCATCCTTTGTCTTTGTCTTTGCCGCCACCGCTTCTGCGACAGATTCATCGATCATCAATCTGGCGATTGACTTTCCTGGCGTGTCTCGATAGCTCATCGCCGCCACGCGAGCCCAGGCACCTGATAGACGGGTTGCAACCCAGCTCGTCGCCTTCTCCCGCCCAACCCCATGTGCCGATCAAGATCATCAGAGTCGTATCGAATTGCGAAACCACCGGTGGTCAACACCACAGTGGTTGACTAAGATATCCCACGTGTACCGGTGCGCTCGACGTTAGACAGCCCACATTATCAAAGCTGGTCACCAACTAACGCTTGAGGGCGACTCCCGGGCCTCTCCTCACAAGGCACTACATCTTTAGCCAGACCCGCCACAGCAAGCCGTCGTGTTCGGCACATGATTTGAGGTAACGGCGGGCAACAGAGGCGAACCCATGAGCGCGAAGTCAGCCACGATGTGCTCGAGCGACGGGCAAAGAGCGAGGAGCGACCAGTGCAAGTTCGGCTCCTCCGGTAGCCTGTATGTTTCTCCGGGTGTTTCTCACAATATTCTAGGCCTCGCAGGCGTGTCTGCTGTGCGCGTGGGCTGTGGACGAATAAAAAGGAACTATTCATGGCGATTCGAGGCTTGGTGACGGACCGTCTGGGCAGCCAGCTGCCCTGTTACTTCTTCCTCGTGCTGCATAGCACTTACACCCACAGCATGATAGGCCCGGACGAGACCTGTCGTGTGTTGATTCACTGTCCTTTGAAGGCAAGCACCTGAAGTGCACTTGATGCTAAATGGCAAGGTCCGGCCCGACCGGCGTTGTCTTGCGGGCTGCTAGTCGCCACGTACCTGAAGTTGGCTGAAGGTCTAACCATAGGAGGACGTTCAAGAGGGGTGTGCACAGGTCTTGTGGTTACCTTTTCGGTGGTTAGCTGAAGGAGATCGACCACGACAGGGGTAATCCCCATTGTGTATCCCCCCACCGCACTCCTCATATCGCCGCTGGACAGGCGGAGGTAACGGGGTTGCAGGGATATCATGATTTGCAGCCTGCATCTCGATACACTACTCGACATGATCAACCCAATGATTTGGGACGGCGACGACATGACAAATCTCCCCTTCCGCATACAACCCCCGCAGGCTGGTGTTGCTCTTCTCTTGGGAAGCAATGCAACGTACCGGTCGATCACTCTAATAACCAGAGAGGCAGAAAGCGAGAGAGAGAGAGAGAGAGAGAGAGAGAGTGAGTGAGAACTAACCAATGTCAACCAAAGGCTTGGACGATGGTGGCCAGCCAAGGCACGCCCTCCCTTGCTGCGTTTGTGGCGTCAAGTAGCGAGCTGCGCCGTCTGTCACGACGAGAGGCAATGCGAGAAAAAGGCAACGGCAATGGCTACACAGCCAGCCAATACTGGGAGAAGCCGAGCCGGCTAGACTCGCACCCAATCTTCACCGCCGACATGGCTCTTTGATTGGCGCCGGTCGACGCCATGCCAGGAGGTACTTTTCTGCGGTTGGATTTTTTTTCTGCTTCTAATCGCTTTCGAAGTCCCTCACTCGCCAATCGCCACTCGGCACTCGTCGGTGCCCGTGATCCGACGGAGCGCGACTGGTCGGTGATTGGCACTGAGGGTCGTGGGCAAAGAGGCAAAACGGTCAACGTTGACTTTGGCACTGGCACTGACGTCGATCGTCGGGTGCAGATACGCCCAGTACAGCACAGCACACCCAAGAACGCAAGCGGCTGATCTCAGGGCGAAGGATGGAGGAGGGGGAGCCGTTGGCGCATGGTGCTGACTTCACAGTTACTCATCACGCTTTCTGCATTTTTCGTCACACCCAAGCTCGAGTATCCTCGTCATACCTTGGCTCGCCCGTCGTTCACTTGACTTTCACAAGCCGAGAGTATGGAGTATGGACCATTCAACCCACGCGGACCCTAGTTCCAAACTTCTGGTCTCGTTTCCACTCGCCTTTCTCTTCCCCCCCCCCCCCCCCCCCCCCCCAACACGTGCTTCGTCTACGTTTTTTCTCCCCGACCGCGATTCCCAGACGCCGACGTGACCCAGTCAACCAACCGACACTCTGGGTCATGGCGTCAAGGCTAGTGGCTGGTAGCTGAGCCCGTAACGCGTAGTGTGTGCGCCGTCGCGCTCCAAGACATGTCTCGAGCCCCTGTCCCTCATTGGGCAGTCTGGCCCGGCTCTAGCCAAGAATCTGGGCTGGCTGGACTTGTATGGTACGAAAAGGGCAGAACGGGAGAAAAGACGGTGTCTACGACATTCTGACTGTCTGACTTCTGGCATACAGGAGCATCTAGCCCGCCGCCGCCGCACCCACTGGGCCTGCTACGGCTACCCAGGTCAGGCCTCCAAACTGGCGGAGAGAAGACCTTCTGGCAGGCCCAGAGGCGTGTTTGTTCGCTACCTGGCAACCTGCCTGCCAGCCTGCCTGTCTCTGCCTGGTGCGCATGACAGAATCGTGTTGTTGCTTTTTTCATTCCACTATGTCTCAGTTCTTTTCCCTACCTTCATCTGCACGCCATGTGTCTTGACAATGGCCCCATTCATATTCGGCTGAGCCTTTACGGTGTCGCAGCCACCGGTTGCGCTGATGTGCTGGCAGGTCTGGGAGCGGCTCGACACTGGACACGGCCATGCCATAGGCAGTGCCGGCGAGTACCATGTATGCTCTGCTTCCGTCCCCTCCTCTCCTCGGCACCAGCTAGCCTCGAGCATCGGGCGCGGGCTAAAAAAGGTACAATCGGCAAGCACTTGAGAGGAGGCCCGAGCTGTCATCGATGCGTACCGTTTACGTAGCGTAGGTGCGCCGCCAGGTTGGCCATCCCATCTTGTTCGGCTACCTTACCGGCGAACCAATGCAGGTTCTGATACCACCGGGTCCAGATGAGCCTCGTCCCCCTGGCCTCTGATGTCTCTACAGGCCACATCCCTCATCCTCGTCATACGCTTACGAGGGAGCCGGTTCGTGCGGTGGGTACTGTGGCTTGATGTGGGTGAGGAAGGGAAGAGACCAAAGGGGGGGGTGGGGGGTGGAGGGGCGCTCGTGAAGCTTGGGACACACACATCGAGAGACCCTTGTCGTCGTCCTCGACAGGCATCGCCCGCCCCTCCATGGCTTGCTTGGCTCCGAAAGATCGCTCACTTGTACAGCGTCCATGCGTCCTGGGGACCTACTCCACCACTGCTGCCGTGCTCGCCACAAGTGTCCTACCCACTACGAGTTCAACTGATATGTAACATGTGTTCCCTCCCCCCTCTCTCGCGCTTAGGTTGGCTCTCATGAGAGTTGTCCTACTTCTCCTCATCGTCTCGACAACTCCCGACAGCAAGGACATCCAACGCAAGGTTGCTCTCTCCCCAGGACATATCGACTGTCGTCCTCGTCCCTCTCGACAGGGCCCCGCCTAGGTGGAAGGCAGCAGGACGAACGCCTCGGCTTGCAACAGGACAATCTCCAAACCCGTCGTCGACTATCTTTCAGCCACTGCCATGTCTTCAGCATCAGTAGAGGACCTCCTGCTGAGGTATGAGGGGCACATCGTCCCTCGTTCCTTCAACGCCGGCTTCATCACCCTCAGCTATGTCGTCAGTCTTATCGGTGCCGCCTGTACTCTCGAGCTCCTCAACCGCCGGACATCCCACAAGGGCAAATTCAACCAGTACGACCTACTATGCCCCATCGCCCCGTGCCTGACAGGCTCTTCTTCTCGAGAGATTGTATGCTAACCAAAGACCAGCCTACTCCTCGTCAGTTCTGCAGTAGCCATGGGTGGCATTGCCATTTGGTGCATGGTAAGTGGCCGATGAATGGCCCGCATTCTCTCACCACACTACGCATTCCTGACATCCTCGTGTTAGCACTTTATCGGCAACCGAGCTCTCGACCTGGGAGATGGTGAGCCCGAGTTGCAGATTGCCTACTCGAGTGGCTTCACTGCTCTCTCTTTCTTCGTACCCATTGCTGTGCTTCTTGCCGCCTTCGTCGCCATTGGCACGAACAATGTCGTTTCATGGTGGCGAGTCTCTGTTGGAGGCATTCTAGCTGGAGCCGCCATCTGTGGTATGCACTACCTTGGCAACAACTCCATCGACAACTATGTCTGCATGTACAACCCTCTCAACGTTGTCGGCTCGGCCCTCATCGCCGTGGCTGCCAGCATGCTATCTCTCGCCCTGTTCTTCGTTTTCCGCGCAGCATGGACAAACACGTGGTGGAAGCGCGCTGTATGCGCCGTTGTACTCGCCGGAGCCGTGTCCGGCATGCATTGGTGTGCGGCGACGGGTACCGAGTATCAACTCGTTTCCCTGAGCCCGGGTAACAACGAGTTGTCGAGGAACACGACTGTCATTGTCGTCATCGTCTTGGTAAGTCGACCATTTGGGTGGCCGGCAGTGGTTCATGTTTGACTGACACGTTCGCTCCAGTCCTTCTGCGCTTGCTCTATCATGGCCGGTGTCGCCATCTACACCGCTCGCGTCCGGCGTCGTTACGCCAACAAGGCGCAGCAGGTCGTACTGGCTGCCGCTGTCTTTGATCCCCAGGGCCGCATCCTGGTAAACCCCGACGGCCTACTCCCTAGTGAGAAGATCACCGACACGTTCCTCGAGAAGAACGCTAGCGACACGTTCGGCATCGCCCATCCATTGTTCCACTGGATGTTCCGCGCGTCCAGGAACTGGTCAAGTGTCGCTACGCTTGTCAGCGGCATGGCGAACCATCTGACGCACCTGCCACGTGCCACCCGAGACCGTGACTCGCGTGCCGCCATTGAGCTTGTCGATGAGCAGGGTGACATGGTCGCCAACTACGACGTTATCCTCCGCGAGCTCTTCTGCGTCGCCGCCCAGGGTCTTGCCGACAAGATGAAGGAACAACTCACGTCGGTCGGCATCCTCTGGGACGAGATTCTTCCCACGGGCGGCGGCAACGAGCGCCCACAGAAGAGCAGCCACGGCGAGACATCTGAGGACCTCGCCGAGAAGGGCATACAGCAGCGCAGGAACAACCAATTCGGCCGTGGTTCCCTCATGTTTCTCGTCCGCCAAGTGCAGACGGACAGGGATGTTGCGAGACTCGAGGCTGCCGGCTACCGGTTCGCCGAGCTGCGACAGGTCAGTGGTATCATCGGCTCAAGTATGCAGATCAAGTGCTGGGACTTTGAGTCGAGGCTGCGAAGCATGGCTGGCTATGCACAGGACGAGAGTCAGCTGGAACCCGGCGTGCACCTCGGCTTCTTTGGTATCCGCGCCCGTGTCGGCAGCTATGGTTTCGACGTGCTCGTCCGCCAGGGTGCTCGCAATCTTCTCCCCAGCGTCCAGATGCCCCTGAGCCGTCTCGAGACATGGCAAGAAGATCTCCTACAGGAACTTGATGGCATGACCGTCGTCAACAGCGCCAAGAGGCTCGAGGCTCTCAAGACAATGTCGCCCCGCGAGATGCTCTTTGCCTCGCAACTCTTTGACGGACTCGAGTCGCTCCGCGCTTGGATCGACGACCCAGTCTTTGACGAGGCTCTCCTGTCGCCACAGATTGTGACGTTGCCTGCCCGTGGCCAAGACGCCGAGCACAGCGCGAGGCAGCACCCGACAACCATGATCGCCTTCCGTCTTGTCATCCCAATCCACGTCAAGGTGTCCAGCGCTCGGTGTGAGTTTGTGCCACTCAACTTCTTCAAAATCCACCAGCTCGTCGACCATGACGGCATGCACCAGCTGGCTTTCGCCCAGGCAGTGCACCGCGAGTTTGCCCCTATCGCGCAGTCCGTTCCCCTCGAGAGGCCAGCGGCCATCCTACAGAACAGACAGCGCAAGTCGTTTGCCTCGTCGCCGCGGGCTTCCCGTTTCCGCCGCCTTGGCCGCTCCGGTTCATCGTATGCCGTAGACGGTGACGGCAACCCCATTCCTACGGCCATCGGCCGTTCATCGTCGCCAACCCACTCCAACGAGACAGGCTCTACTCTCAAGCTGTGGCCTGGCCGCCGCAACAGCGATAACAACTCAGCCGGCAGTTCCTACGACGCGCCACCACCCGCTTATGCATCGCCCGATAACACACCACATGCGACAACTTTCGGCGGCATCATGGTCTCGGAAGAGATCCGTGTCGAGATCCATGAGGCAGGCGAGCTTAGCCCCCTCCCCGGCCAGACGCAGCGCCGCACGCGCCGGTTGCCGCGACTACTGGGTCGCAGCGGACATGGAAGCCAGCAGCGGTATGCAAACGAGTCGGGTGCCACACAGAGGGCTACCATGGTGACCTCTGGTGGCGGCGTTGGCGTCGACGACAGTCGTCACGGCGCGCCCAACGATGGCACCATCGAGATGAAGACGTTGTCCGAGGTGCGCAGCAATGTTCACACGGGCGCTGGCATGCAGATATCCAATATTGAGGTCGAGCAGGCAAGCGAGGTGCCGACCTTCGTGGATGAGCTGTTCACCATCTGCATCGATGGCCGCTGAGCGAGCCAACCAAGGGAGGGGGATTGAGTCCCTCTCCCTACTTCTCTTCTTCTCTTACTTCCCTCCGATTAATGTCTATACTATGTTGAGATGTCGGAAATGTATTATATAGGCTCGAGCTGTGGGCTTTCTCGTTTCTCACGCGCTTTGGGGGTGTTTTGGGGCGTATGGGGTGAGGAATCTTCCTCGCTACGGTGGTTCATTCGCGGTTGAGTTTCTTGAGGTTTGAGGATCCCAAGTCTCCCCGTACAAAAACCCTTTGTTGCATTCATTCCTATTATTCTCCTCTTCATGTTTTCTCTTTTATTTTTCCTTTTCTCACCTTTTTGATACCACGAAGCAACGAAGGGGGGTTGGCGGAGTTCGAGTCGGAATGTCAAATGGGTGGCAGATAGTCCAATTCATTCGTTCTCATGATATGGTCTATTCTCCGAGACAGTCCTCGTCGTGTGCACACCTGCCTTCATCTTGTCATATCTGTTGGTATAAAGGCGAACCGGCAGCACACTGGAGCAGTGGCGTTGATGCCGGCAAAGTCAGATGTCTGGACGCGTCGTCCTACTCTAGCACCCACAGAAGCGAACCAGGGCATTCCGTTTCGCTCAAATGTCCAAGAACCCCCTCGGCGGGCATGCTAGATAAGGGTTCCAAGGAGGGGTCAATGGCGTTCTTCTGCTGGTCGGAAGAATGGAGGTTGGAGTTGAGGTGAGGCTCATCATCTCATATGTTCAGGCCAAATACCAGTGAGATCTCCTTAATAGTCTCTTGCTACGCAATCATGACTTCCATCAGTCGTCGGCCGCGACACTCGACCCTCTTACGGTACGCATCTCTTGGCAGGTAGGTCAGCATGAAAGCGATATTCGGTCTCTGTTGTTGGCTCCAACGCCATGCAAGCTACTTCGCTGGGCACAGCCATGTAACAAGTCATGTAGACGCTCGTTTATGTCACCATCAGCCAACGTATGTTGTGGAACGAAATCATGATACAATGTAATGTTACGATTGACGCCGACGAGCTTCTCTCAGGCTCGCGACGAGGGTATTTGTTGCCCGCCTCTCTCATCTAAAATGCACCACCCGCTGTCGTTCAAAAAATGGTTCAAGAACCCCACGGGACACCTCGCAATGCTGGTCGTTTTGTCATATGCCCACAGCCTCACTCCTTTTTCAATGCCTGGCCGAACCATCCCCCAAACAATCGAGAAAATAAAAATCAGACCAAGAAAAATAACGCCTCCAGGTGCCCCGGGTATCCCTTCCACCTGTCTAGCACGGTCCCCCCCCCCAAAAGAGTGCGTATGTAAATGTGTTCGCTGCTGCCTGATACCATCGTCCTCCTGCTCCCTCCGAGATACAGTTCCCTTGTATTGAAACCAAGAGACGGAATGATGCCATGCATGTTGTAATATGTTGAGCCCCGAGGCTGGATGTGTAATAATAATATCAACTCGATGAACTGCTAGTTCGTCGCACCTCGATCATGACATCTCGTTTGGCGTGGCCTAGACTGAAAACTCGATGAAGAAGACTGCGTTTGTGACCTGCAGTCCTGCGATAGTGATAATCAGGTCCACATCCGCAAGCGCCGATCGAGTCGGACGATGAAGAGTCGGGTGAGCGTTGACGGTGAAGCTCCGCATCCCAACCGTACAAGTCGTCCTCTAGCATGGCTGGCTCACAAGATGGTGCGCATTGCATAGGGGCTGAGTCCATGTCTGGCGCCGCAGGTACGTAG